GATGTTTGCACGGTGAGGACGGGCGTTGTCATCCATAAACACAAATTGTGCGCCCATGGCGCCCCGAAACAAACGTACATGTTGTTCCAGAATGACATCCCGATAGATTTGGCTTGTCATGGCTCCAATTTGAACATGCAGGTCAATTCTGGAAGACAGAATAGTTCCATTCCAAACGAGCACTCCTGCACCACCGTAACGGTGTCGTTCAATGATGTTTTCTTGGTGGTAACGGGTACCTGGAGCTCTCCATATGAAAGTCCGGCGAGAATCAGACTGCAAGCTAAACCTGAACTCGTCGGAAAACATCACACAAGCCCACTGTTGCGGTGTCCACAATGCATGCTCTCTACTCCAGGCTAACCGCAGGCGACAGTGAGTTGCAGTAAGTGGAACGCATCTGACAGGTCTACGAGCATATAGACCAATCTGCCCTAAGCGTCTGTACACGGTCTGCCTTGAAATTGTCGTACCAGTGGCTGAAGGAGCTGACGAGACAAGTCTGAGGCTGTGCTCCGCCTTTTTCTTTTGGCAGTAACTGCCAAATACCGGTCCTCATTCGGCGTTGTAACTCTGGGGTGACCTGCGCTGTAACGTCTACTCACATTACCATCATCTTGGAATGGTTGCTAAAGCCTGGAGATGACACTCTGGGCAATTCCAAGTTCGTCTGATACTTCCAGTTGGGTACGCCCTCATTCCAGACGGCCGATAATTTTACCACGTAAAAAATCATCTAGATGCATCCTTTGTGTCATAACTATTCGGTTATTGCACTGAAATGCTTATAAAGCGCCTGCGAACGATTTTACTTTTTTGCCTGTATTCCTTATATCTATCACTCTCTTACACTCTCGTCATTGTGACGTACCATCGGTGTCATCTGGTTACTTCCTGAAATTTGCATATGATTCTTGAAGATGTGTGTAGTGATTTTACAGGTGTTATATTTATTTTAGAGTTCGATTTCCGCGTGACTCCGAATTATCCTTAATTTATGGACATGAGTGTAGTTTACATTGAACACAAAAACAAGCGTTTTCGTTTTGGATATTTGGACAAATTCGGACAATATTTTAGTGATTTTTCACAAAATTTATTTACAGCTTTAGCAGTAAAGAATGATGCTTTATGACACAGAAGATTAGGACACTGCTGTGATCAAAAATTAAAACTAATGAATCTTCTTGCAAAAGAATCCTTTTGTGAAGTATGTGTTCGTGCCAAACAAAGCGCTTTGCCTATAGGAAAGGGTCCTCGTATAAAAGAATCCAAATCGCTTATAACTATACACACAGATATATGTGGTCCAATAGAACCTCAAACACTCCATGGGAAAAAGGATTTCATGACTATAATTGATGATTACTCGCGATTTATAGAAATCAGACTGCTCAAAAGGAAAAGTGACATTGCTGATGAATTCAAGCTATTCTTTAAATTGAATCCAACTGTTACAAAACTGCACTGTGACAATGCCAAAGAATATGTCAGTGGAGAATTGCATGAAGTTGCTAAAAGGGCAGGTGTAAAAATAGGTCCTGCACCTCCCTATACACCTTTTCTAAATGGTGTTGCTGAACGAGCAAATAGAACTGTACTGGAAAAAGCTAGAGCATACTTGAGGCAAAATTACCAAAATTCCTTTGAGGTGAAGCAGTACGTACGGCTGCTTATATAAATAATTGACTCCCAAATAGTTCAATTGAAAATCGTGTTCCTTATTTTCTGAAGTATGGTGAAAATCCTGATTTAACAAACATGCGCGTATTTGGCTGTGATGCTTATACTCTTGCGCCACCATCGCAAAGAAAGAAACTAGATGAAAAATCTGTCAGAATGATATTTGTAGGTTATTCCACAATGGGATATCGTTTAATGATTCCAGAAACAAGACGCATCATTGTTTCCAGAAATGTTAAATTTAATGAAGAAAAGAAGAAAGTAGAAAATCAAATATATATTTCCGATAGTTTTGATTTGAGTGAAAATGACAATGATGACATTAAAAATGAAGACAAATCAATTTCAGACACTGATAACGGCGAATTAAATGCTGCAAATAAGAAGGAGGAACAAAGAAAATCTTCAAGAGAAAAGAAACAGCCAGTTAGGTATCCTGATCCTGAGATTTACCAAGTAATGTCTGCACAGCAAGACACTCTGACATTTGAAGATATTGTAAATCTACCACAAGTAAAACAATAACCATGGAAAAGAGCTATGGACGAGGAAATGAAACCTATGGAAGATAACGACGTCTGGGACCTACAAAGTTTAGCCCTGATAAAAGAGCCATTTCCTGCAAATGGGTTCTACGTAAAAAACGAGATGGAATTTACAAAGCCAGGCTTGTTGCTCGTGGCTTTATGCAAAAGGAAGACGTAGATTATACAGAAACGTTTTCTCCAGTGATTAGTATGTGCTCTTTACGTTTAATTCTGGTAATTATCAATAATGAAGGTTTGCAAACTTTTACTTTAAATGTCAAGACAGCTTTCTTGAACGGTATGTTAGATGAAATCATCTACATGGACCAGCCAAAAGGATATGATGATATGAATGGTAAGAAATGTAAACTTAAAAAGAGTTTATATGGTCTTAAACAGTCTCCTCGACAATGGTATCAGAAATTTCTTAATTTTGTTATTAAATTAGATTTTAAGCAATTGGATTCTGAACCATACTGCCTTCGGCATTCGAACCCGAAACCTTCGGTACTGTAAGCAGAGTACCGAAGAGTATATGCAATACTAGAGGGTTTGACCTGGATCGAAAATAAATTATCTGGTGGGTCAATGTGTTCACATATTTTCTGATGCGCTGTCCTTGCAATCCCTTTCTGCACTTGGGTTTGATAATAAACTTATTGTGAATATTAAAATGAAGTATAGAAATCTGCATATAAAATATAATATTAAGATACATTGGATTAAGGCACATGTAGGTTTCCATGGTAATGAGAGGGCTAACCCACTGGCAAAAGAAGCCACGCTTGGCAACAGTAAAGAAACTAAACTGCAGGGCTCTAGAACAGGGTTTCTTAAACATTTTTTCAGTCGCGACCCCTTTTTATCACTGAAATGTTTTCGCGACCCCACAGGACCCCATAACATTTACAGAAATTTTGTGGGACTCCACAAGTATTGCGCAAATCCGACACACGCGTGAGTGAAATTGTCAATTTTTTCTCTTGTACTGTAATATACTACTGACGTTTTAGGTCATTAACTTTAATTTCTAATTTTAAGAAATAGAACAATGTAAGAATTTTAAATAACTAATAGACGAAATGAAAACGTCACGTGCAGTTCAAGTCAAATGAACGTTTATATTATAAGAAGAATGTGTCAAAACTTTTTTTGTTTTTTCTTTGTTTGTATTGTCTTATTTTTATCTATTTTAAGATACATTGTGGAAAAATATTTGGTAATTATAAAATTATCATAATTAAGTTAAAAAAATATCAAAATTGCTAACATTTTTTGCGACCCCCTGCTGCAGGTACTGCGACCCTTTTGGGGGTCGCGACCCACAGTTTAAGAAACCCAGCTCTAGAAGAAAACTATTGGAATTTTATACAATAGTATATATGTAAAATGGAAAAACAATTCAGATTCCTAAGAAAAAAAAAAAGAAAAATTATATGAGTATTATACAGATTTATAAGGGAAGAAAGGGCTACACTGATATAGATCTGAATCAGGTTTTGACGGGACATGGAAGTTTTCCCATGTACTCGAATATATTTGCCCTGCAGGAAAACAACTTTTCTCGGCTATGTAGAGTAAGAGGTGATAATGTTCACGTCGTTGAAACCTGTGGCCTGACTGCTAGTATTAGAGATAAAATGAAAATCGAATTTCCAAGAGATCTTAAGGATTATAGTAAAATGTTGCTTTATTCCAGGGAAATAATGAATATTATCAACGCACAGAGATATTTAGATGGAATTGGATGTGCGAATGATATGTATCTGTTTCCTTTGGTTTGTGTATCATTTTTTACATGTTTAACTGCTTATTCTTCCCCCCCCCAAGTTCGTTTTTGTTTTGACCTTTAAAAGCTTTATGGCTGAATTAATTAATCGGCCGGGGGAAGCTGGGGCCTTCGCCTTTGCAGTAACATAGTAACGGTAAGCAGACTCACTAACCACTATACCAGTTGGGCGGCACGAAATTATGATTCTTCAATCTCTGTGGTAAGTGCAAGGCGTGGTGATGTTAGTGTTCTCTCTTTTCAATTTTGGACAAAGTGTAGAACTTGAGGTAGTTACTTACCTAAAGGAATCAAAATAATAAATATATAAGGATTTTAAATATTATTTTTCGGAAAGGGACAAAAAAAGTCAGAACTTGATTTTTCCTATCCCTAAACTTTCTCGAGCTAATGTAGCTCCCTCTAGTGTACATCATGATAACCAATTATGCAATTTTCCTATTCCTATAGATATTTTTCTGATGTGGATGTACATGGTTTTGAACCATAGCCTCTCCGTAACTTATAATCATTGGCATTGAATTTTGCGTTGTAAATCGCAATTGTTATGTGAAGTGTCCCTTAAGTGGGATGCTATTTTAAAAATACATATGAACTACAAAAATTACGCGAGTGTGATCTGCTTGTATGAGTCGAAATGAATGGGATGACAGTAGAGCCCCTTTAATAGTTGGCCGGAGGCCGCAATCGCTTTTGATTTTAAAATTTTAAGCTAACAAGTAGGTCTGGATATTATTATGTATCACTGTCGAATGAAAAAGTGTCTAAAATTGTTACTTATCCAGCAGCTATGTTAGCAAAATCAAAACATGGACCTTATAAGAGATAGACTAACCCAGTGGTTCACTCCGGTTCGACGACGTTGTGTGTGAGTGGACATTCATTCCCGGAGAAGACGTACGTGGACTTGTGACCCTTGGAGATTGCTCGCCTTGACTATCGGTAAGAGACTTCTGTTTTGACCCGAATGTTTTACCATATTCGGTGACTTGCTGTTTGGCATGGAGGAAGGAGAACCCGGATTGCTTTATGCATTATTCACGCAGTTTTATGCACTAAAAGAAGGTGTTGATAAATTTCATGAAGTAAAGGAATCGGCAGGTATTACCGAGGAACAGGAAAAATGTCTTTGCTCTATGCGATCCGAATAATTAGAAGCGAAACATTATATGATATATCGCAAAGATGATGTAGAAGTTCTAAATCAGGCATTTTCTAATACTAACAATAGGCAAAATTCACCACAATCAGACAACGGTTGGCTGGATGCACCCGTTTCAAAACGCGGTAGGAAACGTAGCAGTTCGAACGAGGAAACGTATCCCCCCGCTAAAATCTGCAAATCAATTCAATTCCTTACAAGAAGTAAATTTTAGATGGCAACAGAATGGAAGAGGACAATGTCCTGGAAGAGAAGATAAGGTTACCCCTAACCCAAATCCCTTCATTCAACCCAGACTGTATGCTGGGAAATTCCCCCGCTAGTTATCACTAAAGACCATTAACTGGAAGGATTTTAGGAAAGAATTAAAAGATAACTTAAAAATTGAAAAATTTGAATGCAAAAAAGAAGGCGAAAATATTGTTCTTAAACTAAGCTCCGCCGACGATTATAAAAAGGTGCAGGATAAATTAGAAAAGGAGGAAATTCCGTATCACACGTTTTTGTTAAACTCAGATAAATGTAACAGATTGGTCATAAAAGGACTCACCACGGATTACGAGGCTGACGAAATTAAAGAAGAGTTAGAAGCTCAAAAAATACCGATAATTAAAGTCAAACCCATCACTAGAATGAGATACGGTATTGCTACACAGCTGCCGGTTTTTTTATGTTGAAACCCCCCGTAATGACGAGGGTAAGAAAATATGGGAAGTTAAATACTTATGTGATATGAAGGTTACTATAAAATCTTACAAAGGTAGGCCCGGACCAACGCAATGTTTTAATTGCCAAAGGTACGGGCATACCCAGAAGGCATGTAACAACGAACCGCGATGTGTACGTTGTAGTGAATCGCATAAATCTCGGCCGCTGGTGGGCTTCATCTTCACATAGGAAATCATAAAGACACTGAAATATTGAAACCTGCTGACGTTTAACCTCTGTTCACTGAGTAAGGGCAGCCTTTTCTTGCCCTCAGTAGTGCGGCTTATTTTCTTTCCCCGGCTTCACTCTCTTCGTACTGCTATAGCAGTGACGCGTTCTCCATGCATTGTTAGAATTTCAACCTGTGTCGCCATCTGGTGAGGAGGTCTGGATAATTTTCATTGTGGTCGTTGTGAAAGGGTACGAAAAAATTCAAATAAATTATTTTAAGCACTGAATATAAACAAGAATTCCTTGAATAATGCCATAATGCAGCCTAAAGTAATGCGATTTCAGCATTTTTTACTTTGAAATATTCAGTTAATCAGTAGAAAAAGCTGAAATTGGGTTAATTGCTTTTGAGGATCAGACTCGCGATCCTAAGTATTTCAAAAACCAGTTCTATCTCTTAAACTCAAACTGCATGCGCCGGAGAGGAAAAAATGTAAATTTACCATGCTTGGTTTCTATCTGTAACAAATTTCTATTGCTGCTTGTTTTGTATCTGTAACAAATTTGTAATTCAAATGCAAGTAATAAATTTTAGACTTATATTTATGTAACCAAATATTAAATTTTAGACTTACATTTATTTCAAATAATTCTAGTATAATGAATTAACAATTAAATAATTTTATTTTAACATAAAATAAACAAATTCTGAAAAAGTACCACATTTTCAGGAAACATTTCCCCGTGAAATCAAACTTAAGAATAAAAAACAGTGACCTATCCTTTTTCTTTTATGTATTAAATTTTTCATCGACACTTTCAGAAAAGTACACATAAAATTAATATAATTATACATTTCTATATTTTTTACTGCTGCTTGAAACTTGACGGTGTGTCGAGTTTGATAACATTTGCAGCCTTCAAAAAAATCATGGATTGAAAAGGCTAACTGGTCTTTTGTTAGACCTGTTAATTTTCCAGTGCGAAAAAAAAATCTGTTCACATATAAATATGCTTCCAAACAAAAGGACTTAAGGAAAATTGTAAATTTACGTTGCAAACAAGTGACAGATCACTGATGACATTACAAACATGTGATGATTACAAACTTTGATAGATCAACATTTACAAGAAGGTATCGCGGAAGAATCGGAATATTTAGAAACTGAAAAAGAGTAATTTTGCTGCATCAAGCTATAATTAGAGAAATCAAAGGTACCACAAAACTTTGCTTTGCCTTCGATGCAGCACCACATGCTGAAGGCCAACTGTCATTGAATGATTGTTTAAAATCAGATTTTCGTACAATAATGCGGTATTTCTAAAGCTTTGAACGTGCCAAAGTTCCTTCATTAATAAAATCCTTGCAAAAGAACACTTTTAGGTAACAAAGATCCTTGAAAAAAAAATCAAGCTGCAGTACGTCCCTTTTGCATTTCGAAAAAGTAACTTTTTTTTTCCCCTCCTTATAGGAGCTTGTGAAATCCAGTCTTTTTCTGTTGCACCGAGAGATACTCAGGTGGTGGCTGGAAGAGACAAAATTCTACACTGCCAAGTGCTAAATCAAGTGGGTGCAGTTCAATGGAGCAAAAATGGAGTTCTGTTAGGTGAATTCACTCATATTTTAGTTCTCTGTAATTTTGTGTGTTGCATAAAAATTTGTAGCTTAAGATCAAAGTCTTTTAAAGGGAACACATATCCCTGATACGGCAGATTCTTCTAAACACTAAATCAGAAGAGACATTCAAAGCAACATATCCGCAGAAACTTAGCTTAAAGCTACAGGAAAGAAATCAAAAATAAAGTTCTCTGTGATTTATATAAAACATACGTATTAGCTCCAGCTTATATTTCTTTGTCTCGATTCAGACATGTGATTCTAGTTAGAAAGAATTTCACGAGAAAAATAAAAAACCAAACGTTCTGCAAATATGAATACGGTCACTTTATACATTAGCAGTTATTATTATGAAGTTACAAGGTGTTGTATTTTATGATATTATTATTGTAAATAATAATAATAATTATGTATTAGTATATTATTATTGCAAATTATTATTACTGCTTAACAGCATTTATTTAACTTACATAGAGTATTATCCTCAAAATTCGTTCAAAAGACGACTAAAATCAACTTTGTGTTTGGAAAAGGTAACTATAGGTTTATACGTTATTCGTAGATATGTACGTTCACTAACAAAATTCTCAAAATTATTTATTATTTAAGTAAACATAAGTATAGGATAAAACAAGCCCAGCACCCTGTGCATTTCTGAACTACAGCAGGGACTTTCTAACTCTGCCTCAATTTTGATGGAGATTATTCGTAGATATGTACGTTCACTAACGAAATTCTTAAAATTATTTATTATTTAAGTAAACATAAGTATAGGATAAAGCAAGGCCAGCACCCTGTGCATTTCTGAACTACAGCAGGGACTTTCTAACTCTGCCTCAATTTTGATGGAGAAAATCCTAGGGAGGGGTTTGAATCTCCCGCCGTACCTCATACCAAGGCCAACTTATACCAAGGACCAAGGCATTTGGATTACGGAGTACCTTTGCAATTAATTGCAATTACCTCCACATCATCGTTCAGATAAATGAATTAAATAAGAGAGAAGCAGTCGCTAAAGTTGATGAAAAAGCAGATAAGCTAAAGTCAGGAATCGCTAAGGGTCCTCATTGTTAGGACACAGGAGGAGAGTATAAGAGTTTATCACAACTGAAGGCGTTTAGCCCCCCGTAGTGATCAACTTCTTGTACTCAGTAGTTGTAACAAAAGAGCAGGCAACCGGGACGCTAAAAGCGTGGATGGTTGCCATGGAGACGAAACAGCTGATGGCGTGAGGCGCAGTTGAAGGAGACCCGGTCCTCGGTAAAGGTAAGGTATTGAATCCAAGCGTTTAGCTAAGAGCCTTGGGATGGTCGGAACGAGGACGAACGGGGTCACTGACCGGAGAAAGAGAAAGAGGCGAAAAAGCGCGGTTGGGCGGAGAGTTCGAATCAAAGTTAACTGGCAGAATGACTGGAGCAAGTTTTGAGCGGCAAAGAACCGAAGGGAGAATTTTGAGTGCAGGCGAAGTAATGCGTGTTTCGCGAAGTTAATTAAATATTGAATCTGGAGTGTAGCTTAGTGTTGTAATAATCTGCAGTATGTATGCTTTTAAAGTATTAATCTGGGATAGATAATTTAGTAAGTTTAGTAGTTGATTTAACAAATTATTTAAAGTAAAAATATAGTGAAAATTGATGAAGTCTGGCAGAAAGGTCTTGGCTAGGGCAGGTATAAATACTAAAGAGCAGCACGGGGATATAATCGCGAGAAACGAAGCCAGATTAGGTCTGGGGGGTAAGATCAGTTAAGAGTAGCCGGGTTAGGCCCGTGAAGTACGTTATATAGTATTATATAGTGAAGTATGTATATATATCAGATTAGTTTCCTCGGTCAAGCAGGCAAACCCTTTTAGGCTTCCTAGGGAAGATGTTATAGGATCTGTCCATGACAGCCCTAGGTCGCTTGGCAGAGCTGGGTTCTGCCGGATTATAAGCAGGAATGGCATGCAAAACCAGGTTGCTAATCTGTTCAATACGTTGAAAAAATTTAGCCAAAACGTGCTTGAAAAAAGCATCAAGGGGAGGAATTTTTAGGTCAGAATGAAGTACTTCATTATGAACATACCAGTGAGCATTAGTAAGGATGCGAAGCGTGACATTTTGAAAAACCTGGATCTTCTTTAGATGAGAGTTGGCTGCTGTGGCCCAGATGGGAGCTGCATAGGTGAGGATAGGCATGATGGGTCTGGAGTACAGAAGAACTTTATTCCGGAGGGAGGGGTGGCTGGATCTGGATATTAATTGCAAGATAATGATATGGATAATGATATGGATCTAACAATTTGGGAATTGCCCAATGACAAAATGTCTGCAATAGAACTTTTTCAAAGAAAAGACATCATTCATTATAGAATATTATGATCGAAAAACCTCGAGATGAAATTATGCTTTAGCGGTAACTCAATAACGAAATGGAGGTGCAGGAATGAACCTGTATTCTGAAGAAAGGATTAAGAAGTCAGATATTGGTTCGAAGGAACGAAAATCCCCTTCCTTATAACTGATAGGCAGGCTCACCTATTTTTGGTATCAAGAGATGACATCTCAGGGGCGTAGCTAAAGGGGGGCATCTGTCCCCGGGCACAGAATCCAAGGGGCGCCAAACTGATGTTACGACATTTTAGAATTAAATGTTTTCCATCCTTGGCAAGCAGTAGGGGGCGCAAAATCTTCAGTTGTCCCTGGGCGCTGAAAACTCTAGCTACGACTCTGTAACATCTATTGAATTTTGTGAACTCCAACTGAAGATGAACCACAATACAACTGTAGACTGGAAGATATGCGTGAGGTGTGTGCCATAGCTTTAATTTCTCAGCCTAAGTTGAAATTCGGCGCATGTGGAAAAAATTATGAAGCAGACGAAAGCCATTTCTAGTAGAAGAAAGAATAACGTTGGACGTGTTCTTCTGCCAAAATGGGTTTTTGGTGGATTGTGCAGAGAATCAAAAGAATGTTTTAGTCGCTATTCCAGATCGATCGGTGAAAGCCTTATGGAACATCATAAAGGTTTGGTTTGGTTTGGTTTATGTGATTAGAGCAAAGCCTCGAGGCATCTCCCTAGGGGCAGAGATGCCTACTTGGAGGACTTGCTAAGGGAAACTGGCTTGTATACACGTTACACATAGGGAAAACCATGAAATCGTCCATATAGCCAGCCCGTTTGTTGGATTCAAACCTCAGACCGAACTACCAGTGTTCAGCGACTTTATCGCTCGGCCACTGATGTTCAAACATCATAAAGGAAAATGTCACAGAAGGAAGCATTATTTATACTGACTGCTAGAAATCATATAAGTCGGATGAACTGCGATATGCCAGCGTTGAACATTTTACTGTCAACCACAACTAGAATTTTGTGGACCCGAAAAGGGGGTCATACGCAAACAATACAGCGACTGTGGGGCAGTGCTAAATGGTGTAATAAACGCCATCGGAGAACTGAAATTTTTTCTGCGATGTTTCAGGATCTTAAAAATTTTATGCCTCTCGTTTAATTTCACTTATTTTTAACCCTTTTCTAATAAATTAAATTAACAAAAAGTGTAATATATGAAATTAACCTTCCATCAACTTAAATTAATAATCTTAGATATTTAATTACAATAATGCTTTCTTACAGTTACATTTAGCCGTTTTGTTTATATTAAATTATAATAATAAAGTGTATTATATGAAAGTAAACTTTCATCTAAATTAAAATAATACTCTTAGATAGTTATTTTTTATTATTATGCTTTTCTTGAGTTAAGGTTACCATAATTATTTTGGCATCAACAATAGTTTTTGGCGATTTTTTTGCGGTCCCTATAACGGAATTGTACCGTATTTTTAAATGAAAATCTAGTTATTTGAGTCCTTTCGTATCTAAAAAAATACATACTGCAGTTATTTACTTAAGTCATAAGGCCCTTTTCAAAAGTTTACGTCTAATTTAAAATAATTAGTTAATGTCAACTTAATCATATATATAATTATTGTAAAATCGTGGTGTTTAAAATGCTTTTCGCTACTGAAAAAGAGTGCTTTTGTTATAACTTTATAGAATTAAAAATCCCTCAAAGTAGTATATTTATAGTTTTAAAATGTTTGTTAATTAAAATTTATTTATTTACATGATGTTTCTAAGAGTGAAGTAAAAAAAAAAAAATAAAAATATAATATATATTATTATCTTGCTTGCTTATTTATATTCATGAAGATATATTTCTAATACAAGTAATAATAACTTTTGAAAATTTATCTGGATATAAGGGCCATAGCAGTCGAAACAATGTCGTTTCTTTTCAAATTGTATGTGCCATGTTCAAATGCATGATTTACGTGAATTCAATAAAAAATTTGATTCTGCTTTGATCTGAGTGTTTCATGATTTTTTGCTGTATTGAAGAAAATTTTTTGGAAATTAGTTAATGGCATTAAGATTCTTTAAATTAGTGTGTTGAAGATTCGGCGTATGTGAATCTATTCATGTCCATTATGTTTCTGAGAATAAAATCAGAAAACTGTTATCCTCCTTATTTATAAATGTTGGTAATTTCAAATGTAGGCAATAATGGAACTCTGATGTAACACATAAACACGATCTTTCTGAAATACGGGCTATGTAGTCCTTACAAAATGGGGCGTGGCTTAACAGCATGCGAACCCGTCTATAAAATTGTCCCAAAATAGGTGCTACATTTGTGGAAAGTAAAAACTGAGAATGAAAATCTAGCATGCAGCGTTACATTCCTTGTAGCACATTATGTAATTTTACTGATGTTGATCTACTAAACTGCATCGAAAGTTATTTTGACTCCAACTACTTGAAATGTAGCAAATAATGTGAGACAAAACTTTGGACCTAAGTGTAGCAACTAGTTTGGAAAGGAGGGAATATAATATTTTGAGACTGTTAGTGTTGGAATACCAAGTATTCCGTATTGACCGCATATTTTAAAAAATAAAGCCATATTCCCTAAAACAAAAAGCATTACATCTTTTAATTATG